AAAGCGCTTTGGGGTCCCTAGGCGGGACTAGTAAAAGCGCTATACAAATACAGGCCATTTACCATTTGCACTTTTGCATTATCCCTGGCGTTCATCGCTTGGTCCTCAGCTCGTATATAAGCTTGGGGTCAACTAAATGTTTTTTAATGTAAGCATTATTTAACACATTTGGACGTGATTTTGCCAACATGCAGCACTGACTTGAATTTACCTGAATATAGTGAGTTATAGGCTTAATTAACCTGACAGAACTTGATGGGAAAAGCATAAAGTTGATATATCTGTGAAGTTTTGCCTTGAATAAATCTAAACCCCCTCCTGTGTCTGCAGGATACTCACAGTCATCAGTAATACTGGGAACTGATGCTCTTTCCATTACTGCACTCTAAGAAAGAGTTATGAGCCTCAAGTCGTATTTTTGGGTGTCAGAACAATTAGGTGGCACAGTTTAAGGCAGTCTGGAGTCTTGGTGTCTGATATGCCTCTCTGAGCTGTACTTTTATTTTAAAAATGTTTCAGTGACGAAGTTCAGAGTGATGTCATCTCTGATGCCCCGATCACCTGGTGTAATGCAGCTTTAATCATTTAATCGTGTTTTGCACAGATTAGACGGACCACGACGTAGACCTGGAAAAATGTCCTGCGATGGACAACACTGTTTGTGTTTTCAGTGTGTGGCAGCGGGTGGCAATGATAAATCTCAGTTTAACCTGTTTGCGGAAACGTTTGTCAAACTGTGTCTGTAAGCCTGTGTACACTCGCTTTGTCCAGCATTAACACAAATGTATGGCTGTGCGGTTATTTGGGCAGACGGATGTGAATGAAACCTGCCGTGGATGTGTGTTTGTGTCACGTTAAACGGGTTCACAGTGGCGTGTGTGCGTGTCCGTATGTGACTATGCGTGTTTGATGGGGCCATCAGCTGATCAGGGAGACTGATGGTGTCGGACCAGGCGGTGATAATCCAATCAGGAGCCTGAAGCGACGTGATAGGCCGAGAAGCAGGAAGTATGATCTGATTATGGGGACATTATGGCCATGTGCAGAGCGCCCAGTGCCTGGGGGATGACAGGTGTGTACACAGACAGACACACACACACACAACCGCACATACGCACAATAAACCTGGCTGCCTAGAGGCTGATACAACCCCACGCGCCACACTGCACAAATACAGCCGTGATTGCTCCGAGGAATTATTGAATGCATTGGTGTGGGGTAGAAGCACTGACATCGGAGTGGTGTGAGTGTGTACCTATGCTCATCAAAGAGGTGTGGGTGGACGAAAAGAAGGACTGAGGAGTTCTTGTCCCCTTACTACATAAAAGAAGTGAAATTAGAACAATAAGCATGCTCATTATTACTAATTACTCTTTTCCACAGCACATAAAACACACTCGGATGTAGTCTGGGAGATGTTTCCATCCATCTATCAAGCAATTTTGACAATTTTTGAAATGTCACAGTGGTTTTTTGTGTTGCCCCAAACAGCAAATAAAGTGCTGCTAATGACACATATTTCATACTTAATTGCGACTGGTTACAAATTTACTACAGCTACAGTGGGGAGCACTATTAACACTCTATAAGAAACAAACAAACAAAAAAAAAAACACAGAAGAGGAGCTAGCACCCTTCACAGAGAGCCTGTATACATCCATCTGCACGTCTAGATAAACTGTGTCGAGTGCGTTACCTTCTTGGTGAGGTTAAGGTCCTGGTCGTGGGGCATGCGAGTGGAGACGTGGTAGATGACCTCAGTAGTGGAAGTGGCGTAGTAAGGAGTGGTCTGGCCTGTGCTGCGATTTCTCTGAAGGCCTCCCATGAAAGCACAGTGAGTGGGCAGGTCCACCTAAATGGCCCAAGCACACAAACAATATCAAGTGAGGTCCATTTAACAAAATATAACCTCTGCATTCAGTTAGCTTATTTCATATTATGTAAGGCTATAAATGCTGTGGATTGTGTTCACGCTATATTGTTGTCCCTAAACATCTAATCAAAGTGCTAACATATTATAAAGAAAACAAGTTTTTGTCAGTAGCAGTAAATGATCCTAAATAACCAGCTAATTTCTCAAATTTCAAACTTCCTTTCTCCATATTTTAATTCTTGAACTCTGCTGGAATAGCACTGCATGGATTCTAGTTCAAAATATAACTATTTATCTTTTACTTCGGCTTAATGAGACGCATCAGTTCCACTTCTGTCTGTAATGAGACACTTTAGCTCCTTCCCCTTTAAGCCAGTGGTTCACGCCCGTCCAAGCCCCCACAATTTTTTATCAACAATCACCGGTGAAAAACAATCCAAGCTCTGAGGCATAGCATATGAGTATCTGCAAACTGTTTTAACGTATTTTGCCTAATTAAAATGTGCATTTTCCCCCTGGCATCCTCCTGATTGGCTGCCATTCACAAACAGAAGGTTTGAACAAGGTGGGCCACAGCTGTGTGCCCAAGCTGATCATATTAGAGTACATGTATTCACTAAAGATAACTTAAGCAGAATTCACAGTATTTGGTTTCATAGGCTGAAATATTACTGTTATTGCATTAATTATGTGTTTTGCTTCATCACACACTGCTAAAAAGAATAAAACATACAGGTGACTGTTTAGGTTTTCATTACTTTGAAATGGTCCTGATAATGCTAAATCCATAATAATGATAAGTAATATATGTATAAATGTGTTCTCACCTCCCACCCCAGTCCAGAAACAAAGTCCTCATATGCCTGGCTGCCTGCTGTGTTAGTCAGTATGGAGTGTTTGTCCTCTTGGCCTTCAGCCACGTAAAATACTGCAATTTTATGGGTTTCACGGCTGGAAGAGAATGAAGAAAAAAACCCAAAACAGATGAGAACCTATTAAAGCTGCAACACCAAACCGGTTCAAAGTATGATCTGACAAAAAGCTGAATGAACAGAAAAGATGGATTTTTTTCCAGGCTTCTCACCACTGCCGTGAATCCAGATTCTTCAGCTCTCTCAGTAATTTCTCATTCTTCCTCAGCAAGTGAAAACTACTCCTGTAAGACAGAAGTGCACAAGTCGTGAACCATTAATCATCATTAAGATTGAACTGCCTGATCACTGCCCGGCTGTCACTCCTGTCTCTACTAATTAGCTGGTTGCAGGTTTTTGTCACCCTCACACAATGGCAAAAAAAGAAGTGGTGTTTAAAGTCCACAAGGGCTTAAAGCATGACAATGTTGTTTTTTCCCCTCATTTTGGGATAATCATACTATTGAAGGGGATTTAAAAATAATAATAATAATCAAACAATCAAGATAAGACTAAAATGCAGACTTTTAGCTTTAATTCAAGGAGTTTAACAATATTACCTGTTGCACTGCATGACCTATTTAGCAATTATAGGTATCTTTAAACATAATCCCTGATCACTTGCTTCTGAATGGACCTTTTAGCTTTTAACTATGCAGTAAATGTCCTGCACTAGCCTCACATCTGTCACTTTTGACTTCCCCGTGCAGTACCACAGTTCTTCTATTGACACCCTATAACATGCTTCTTCTAGATCCACAAAGACTCAGCGCTTTAGGGAAAAAAACCTCATTTTTATACAAGACTATAGAGAGGAGGAGTGGAGACTGAGGAAGACGCACACTGACAGATCACCCATAAATGACCACAACCCAGATTTTAAAGAAGGATTTTAACATTCAGTCCCTTGTGGCTAATCTGTTTGGGTCCTCTAAATCATTTTAACGTGGGCTGGGGTTTACCAGCTGTTGTTGACAGCTGTGGTTGTCCAGTAATTGCTACTACTAAACACAATCACATAGCATGTTGGTTTTCCTGTAGGTCTGTCTAAAATGGCTTCAGGGGGTATTTGCAGTCCAATTTTTTTTACTATGTTTTGTTCTCAATATAAAACAAAATGTGTGTAAGAGGCAGGGGAGGTGCTGGGCTTCTGAAGCTGCTGCCTCAACTCTGGCCCTACAAATACAGATTACTGGGTTTTAATATAAATGAGCAAACGCAGCCACACATCACAGGGCCTGCAGTTTATGTCGTCGCCACTTTCAGGGTCCAAACATAAAAGAAAAGGGACATTATTATTAATGAAAACAAAAGCCTTTCATGCAGACTAACTTGTCCTGAGGCCGTTCAAAGTGTCCCAGCGACCAGCCCCCAACCTCTGCACCGTTGATATAAAACCTAGACTCGAGCGGTGAAGCTTGGAGTGGACTGATAATGACACGTCATTCTTTTCACTCTTAGAGAAAGGGGAAAAACGGGATAGAAAGAGCAGGAGATAAAGAGAGAGAGAGAGAGAACGAGAGGGGGACAGCAATTTGGTCTTTATTAAACTGATACTTGGTAATGGCCTCATTCTCTGCTCTCAAAGACTCCATTTACACCCTGGATTATAGGGAAAAGCATAAAAGGGGACACACACATACACGCACGTAGGTGACTGTCAGTATCTTAGTGTCTGTAATGCCCGATATGAATACCTGGAGAGACAATAACACATGATTAGACAATCTCTTCTTTTCTTTCATCCTTATCCGTCTATTCTCCCTTTTCTCCAACATCCAAATTTCTCATTTTTACCTTCCAAATTCACTCACCTTTTCTGGCACCATGTCATTTTTTAAAAATTCACTGTCTACATTTACATGTGCCTCATTTCATCCTGTTTTCTGATTTGCCACTTCACGCTCGATCCTTCTCTCCTCTTCTTTTATTCTAACTCCAAATGGGTTGAATTTGATCAATAGAGCACTATACTCATTATCACACACTCTTTATACACACACACTCACACACAAGCACGGTGTGTTAAGAAGTCTATTGTGCAGGCTGAATGCAGAAAGTGTAATTCCCTGGATAAAGTATAAAGAGCGATGAGGGTCCATTAGATGGCTGGGCACTTTTAAAGTGATACCCCGACATTGTGTATTTTAGCCCAGAGTCACTGAGAAGATGAAATGCTGTGCATTATGAATGGCAAAATGTGAAGTGTAATGAAAAAAAAAAGAGCACTCTGTTGAATTTGAATCTTTTTTTGTTTCATTTGCATTAAGCAAGAATATGCTTTGCTCAAAGAGACACTCCAGATCGAAAACAGCCTCTTAGTTAGTATATCTTGTACAAAAATGATGTTTTATGGCTTTTAAATGACAGAATAAACCATCGTGTCTTAATGGAAAGAATAATATTTTCATAAAATTAAACTAGAGAGTAAAAAAAATATCCATGTTAAAAACTAAAACTCATTTGGAGTAACATTATCTAAGGGCTATAGATATATTTTCATGAGATACGGGATGCAACAAGGTTGTTTACATCAATATAGTGCGATTGTGTGTTATATTTTTTAGTAAAGCCTTTGTGAAGGTACCATATAATAACTATATTGCACTCACACATCTAGCAACAGTTGGTAAAGTCTGCTGCGTTGTAGAAACGATAAAAGAAAGTCACCACAATCCACTGACAAATATTTGCACTGTAGTAGAATATTAATGCGACTACTGTGTGCCGTGATTGTTGTGTTTCAACCAGGATTAAAATACAAAGCTAAAAACTGCAGTTTCCCTACTGGCCATTTAATCCACATCAACTCTGATGTTAAAATTACAGTTTTAAAAGTCTTTAACAAGGCAGGCTGAAAATAAAGCTAATGAGAAGTTCCTGAAGCCTGCATTCTTTTTAATCGTCTCCAGGGGGCGATAGCTGTGGCTGCAGAAATACTTCTGGTCCTAAAGAAGTCATTGGGAAATTAGCTCCTGGCTCTGACCTCTGTAAATACTTTCCAAATAAGTTTATGCTGCTTATTTTGGGTCATAATGTTTAAAACATTAGGTCCGTTTTAAATTTGGGCGATTTTATGTTTTAGAAATGAGGATTATCCAGGTTTTCTTCTCTTCCTATCTTTTGTATTTGAATTTTAACTGAACATTTAGATGTTACCCTGTGGACTACAACTCACCTTAAAAACAGAGGTACATTACACAGCCCTAATAATCCCTTTTAAAGTGACCATTAACATAAAGTTTAGAAGTGGCACAAATACTGTTGATAAAAAGCGAACATAAATATCATTAACCCAAAATTCCAGTTTAATTTGGGATTGTCACAGCGTGCAGTGCTCGATCTTACCTTTTCTCCCAGGAGTTGAGCCCCAGTATGTTGATCAGTAGTCTGCAGTAATAGAAGGCCGACTGTGGCGTCTGAGTCTCTGGTTCGGTCTGATGCACGGCTCTCATGTTCAGCTCCTCACCTCTCTGAAACATTCGATCGCTTCATTTTAATGCACAAAAACCAAATAATTAAATAAAACATGGAAAATACAACAATGAGCGCCAGCCACCACCGAGGCTTATGACAACAAACATAAAGGTGGTGCTTTTAATCACGCTACACTAAACCAAGTGTTTTTCTGCAGATTATTTTCAAATCAGAGTGATGTAAAATCAATTTTAATACACTCACTGGCCACTTTGTTAGGTACACCTGTTCAGCTGCTTGTTAATACAAATACCTAATCAACAATCCCATGGCAGCAACTCAGTGCATTCAGGCATAAACATGGTCATATGACCTGCTGAAGCTCAAACTGAGGCATCATAATTCAAAGGTGATTTAAGTGGTTGTTGGTGTCAGATGGTCTGGATATTTCAGAAAGTGCTGATCTGCTGGGATTTTCCCAGACACCCATAACTAGAAGACCACACTGAGAGCCACTCCTGTCAGCTAAGAACAGGAAACCGATACCACAATACCCCAAAGCTGTATAACAAAAGATTAGAGAAACATTTTCTGGTTTGATGAGTCTCAATTTCTGCTGTGACATAGCAATGGTAGATCCAGGATTTGGTGTAAACGTGAAGGCTATTCTGTTTTTGTATCACTGGTCAGGCTGCTGTTGTAATGGTGTGTGGCATAAGATTTCTTTGGGCCCATAAATACCAACTGAACATTATTTAAATGTCACAGCCTGAGTATTACTGACAGGCTGACATGCTCATCTCTATATGACTACAGTATACCCATCTTCAGAAGGATAACATGTCATGTCAGAAACCTCATATCACCTCAAATAAGATTTTTTTTGAACATGACAAAGAGTCAGTGTACTCAAATAGCCTTCACAGTCATCAGCTCTCAAACCAAAAGAGAAGCATTGGGATACAATGGAACAGGAGACTCACATCACAGGATGTGCAGCTGACACACCTGTGTGATGCCATCATGTTAACATGGAACAAAATCTTTGAAGAATGATTCCAGCACCTTGTTGAATCTATGCCAGGAAGAATTAGGGCTGCTCTAAATGCAACATTGGGGGGCCCTCTGTGGCATTAGCAAGGTGTAACTAGCAAATTTACCCGTGAGTGTAGATGAACTTTTTTCCTTCAGAAATACTGATAAAATAAATAACAGTTATAAAATCATTTGGTGTTTTGGTATTATGAGTTAGCTTCTCTGTGTTTAGGAGGCATGTTCCTTTGATTCTGTGCAGCAGGGACAACAAAGCTTTTCTACAATAGACATGTTGACTTATTTTAACGGAAAAATCATGGCAAAACAAACAATAACTCTTAAAACAAGTCTGATGATAGAACTGTAATAAATCCCCACATAGGGAAACACATGCTGTACTGCATGTGTGAAGGTCCAATAACTAAAGGCTCAGGAGTTTAATGATTGCTATTGATGTGAACATAGGCGGCACGCACATGAAGGACGAAGTCTCTCTCAGCAGCACTTTGTTTCAGGATGGCATTGATCACATCGTTCTCCTGCTTCTCTGAAACACACACTGGAGGAGGTGCTGGGATGTTGAGCGGCATACCTGCGGGAACCAATCAGGAATCAGAGTTGCTACTTAGGAATGTGCTGAACAGCTGTAGAGTTCAGATTAAAGCAAATACCTGCTCTCTGCAGACACTCAGGACTCGAGTATCCCAGGTACTGCAGCATTTCATCCAGTGCATCGTCTCCTTCTCTCAGTGAGTCCCACGCTGGCACCGCCTCCCGACACACGCGTTTAGCCAATGGCGGAGCCAGATGCTGCTCTAAACTCGACTTTGCTTGATCTGCCTCACTATCCATTCGATGTTCATCTTTCTCCCCCTCCTCCTCCTCTTCTTCCCTTTCAAATCCACCTCCACCTCCTCTCCGATCTTCTTTCTCCCCCTCACTTGCTTTCGTCTCCTCCGCTTCCTCCTCTCCCTCTCCCTGAGACTCCTGCCTGTCACCATCCGTCCTCACTCCCTCCTCTGCCCCCCTCTCCTCTTGCCCGTCCTCCTCGCTATCTTCTCTTTTCGCTCCCATCTTTTTCGGCGGACCTCCTGGTGGGGTGCGTAAATGAAGATTTGTAGTGTGAGGTGACTGCGTGTGTGTTAAAAGTGTGTGCGCTGGACTGTTAGGAGAACATGGCGGAGGCCCATAGAGGACGGCGGAGTCCCATGAGTGTTTTCCAGCTACATCTCGGATGATGACGCGAACACAAGCGGGAGCAGAGGACAAACCAGCCGTCATTCCGCCTCCTGGCACACCGGACTCTGATCGGATCTGGAAAATAGCGGCAGAAGAAGCAAAAAATAAAATAAAATAGTAAAGAAATCACAAAATAAATATTTTATATTATTTAAAGATTGTTTCCCCACTAGTGTGTTAATAATATAATAAATGCAGTAGTCATCATATTTGTATTCCAGGTGTAAAAGTAATTATTCAAGTAATAAATTCATGTATGTTTAACCCTGACAAATACACTTAGAAGCAACTGGAACATTTATGAAGCTTTACCTGAAGCACAGACAGCAGCGTGGATCCATTCAGAACCAGGAACTGCAGGTTTGGTGAATGGAAAAGTTCTGGTCCAAGATCTGCACTCTCACAGAACGGGTTGTCCTGGTTTTCACACACCTGCAAAACATGACGTTATATTTATTACAGCAGCAAAATAACAACAGCTTTCAACATTTCGCAGAGTCGCCTCCCTTTAACATAACTTAGTTAACCCACCAAACTCAAAGTAACAGTACCTGACTGGACAGAGTAGCGGGGCCTCCGGACATGGGATAATGTCCCAGATGGTTTAGCAGGTGGGTAATAACTGTTCTGGCTGCAATGGAGACGAGGCCCTGCTGAATACGGCTACGAACTGCAGAGAGAACACAGACGATAAAAGATATAGTTAGGAGGTAGCAGATCGTCATTTCATCACCTGTAATGAAAAATAAAAATAAGGGATTGGACTGTCAGGATTTAGAACGTTAACTGTAAGACAAACGTGTTATTGCTCTGGAGAAAATTTAAAGGGAAGCTGCAGCAGGTGGGGTGGGGGGTAAGCAATAGCAATGCCAAATTTTATTTATGTTTTTTGGAAATCATAAAGAAACTGATTGGTATCATTGCAGAAACAACACACTGAGTATTAGTAATTAGAAATTCTATTAAATGTAAGTCAATGCATTTACCATTAATACAAATATAATTCATTGCTGTTACACTTATATACATTTAAAGATGAATCATTAAAACAACAATACATTGAATAGTTTTATTACTTAAAATGAGAAACAAGTAAGGCTGTTGACTGTGAGAACATTGATCTAATGTTCTTTAGAGAATATAATATAAAATATATATACAAAGATTTAGCTCATTTTAAAATAATATAATAAAATATTAAAGCAAGAACAAAGTCCATCCCAGATGATGTACAAAAAGCTTAAAGATATATTTCTGTTATAAGGGTTAATTATGGATCGGGTCTGATATAAATATAAAAATATATATTTCACTTTTTGTTGTCAAAAGAGATTTTATTGGTGTTTAGAAGAGTTCGTGCTTGTTTCTGTTCCTCATACAAGACTGAAGACTAGAGGAGCACAGAGGCTTTCAGGCTGTGGCAGCAGGGCTCTGGATCAGTTCACCACTCCAGCTCTGTTAAGCTGACTCTGTAGAGTCTTTAAAACAAAACATTTTTTTCAGGCCTTCTGCTGAAATCGTTTTGTTATTTATGTTTGTGTTTATTTTAATTCTATTTTCATATCAATTGTTTTTAAGCATTTTTGGGGCTTGTCTGTGAAAAGCGCTATATAAATAAACTTTAATCACTTTGCAGAGAGTGTTGCCTTTGGCTGACCCTCTTCAGTCTCTATTCATTACACACACAGCAGGCTTAATATCTACTGTTTACTCTCTGATTAATGTGCGCTGATTGAATAAAAATAAACTAATTTTCTCTCATTATCTTTTAGCAGAGGTTTAGCAAAGTAAATCTTCTGCATTGCAGCCTTCTGTAGGGCTGATTGGACTGGAGTGTTACTGTAGGGAGGCGAGTAGCATCCACCGATAAAATAAACAACAAAAGTGTTAAACCTGCAGTTTCACAGTGACAGAAAAAGTGTGAAGGATACTCTGACTTGTTCTTTAGTTTACGAGTTAACTTAAGGAATCACTGTAGAAACTAGGAGAAAGTACAAGCACACTTTCAGCTCGTACATAGTTTGCACCCTGCTGAGAAGAAGCCAATGCCATCACACATTGTGCTGCCAGCCGATCCTGGTTAATCAACATCATTACACACACACTGTGAAACACACACGCGCGCACGCTTTACGGCAACTCCTTATTGACAGGCTGTGCACAGAGTACAGATATGTATTGACCAGATTTTCAATGACTCCCTGAACCTCGTAGGGTGCTCTAAAAGAGGCAGACAAGGCAAAGGGAAGCAAAAATAAATGATAAATGAAGCCAGCAGAATATAATAGATGTGAGAGGAACATTAGCAGAAAATAGTCTTAGGATATTAAAAGAATAAAAAACTGAATTGTGTAAGTGAAGATTAGTGGTTAGACGAGAGAAGACAGGAGTAGAGAAGCATGGCCTTTCGGGCTACTCCAGTCATTAAACTAGACAGAGTCCTGGTGAACCACAGCAGGAGATGATATATACTCCGACACAGATGCAGACAGGTGTGCACACATGTAAAGACTAAACCAAAGGTTTTGCAGAGTGTCATAGTGTAAAGATTTTCTATATGCATCTGGATCAACGCACCACATTGCATGGATTATTAAAGCGACAAGAGGAAAAAACAGAAACGTAATAGGTGTTAACCGCGGAGCAGTGCATTTCCACTGCTTGATACATTACCTTCGGTGACTGGCTGCAGTTTGCTGGATCGCTCAGAGTCCGGACTGTGTAGCGGTTCTGGTTCTCGGAGGTTCTCTAAAGGCAAGAACGGGTCGTAGTCTGGATTTAACAGGTCCGACAGTTGCAGCGGGAAATACTTGGGATTGCTGAAAGACTGTGCCCCATACACACAGCCATGTAATACCTGGACACATTTTTAAAA